CATGTTCAGCCGCTGTTGCCCAGCCCCCCCAGGTCCTTTTCGGCCAGGCAGCTTTCCAGCCACAATTAATTGGTGATTAATTGGTTAAACTTTCTTATTTATGTTGTAGTGGGTCTCTGTGCCCAGGCCGGGGATGAAGGGTCGCTGTGAGGAGAGGCTGGGGCTGCCCTGGGCTGGGCACGGCCGCTTCGAGCCGGTTCTGGCCAGTCCCAGACGGTTTTGGCCGGTTCCAGCCGGTTCCCAGGGCCCTGGCAGAGGGCACAGCCCAGCCCTTCAGCCAGGCCGGCGGCACCTCAGGGGAACGGATTTAAGAAAGGCGAGGAGTGAGGAAAAAGTTGTGAGGAGGAGAGGAGTCGGGAGTGAAGGAGAGAAGCTGAGCCTTGGGAAGAGGGGGTGGGGTAGGGGAAGGTGCTGTTCTGTCATCGTTTGTCACCATCCCAGTGTATTTTTAATTGGCGGTACGTTAAATTAGTTTTCCCCAAGTTGAGGCTGTTCTGGCTGTGAGGGTGATGGGTAAGCCATGTCCCCGTCTCGAGCGGGTTCTTCTGATTTTCCTCCCCTGCGCTGTTGAGGAGGGGAGCGAGGGGGCACCTGGGTGGGTGTCTGGCGGCCGGCCGAGGGCAGCCCGCCATCAGCGGGGCGGAAAGAAGCTACAGACCCCCCTGTAAAATTCCCAAATTGGTTTTCAGGTTGCTTTGTTCTTCTGTCCCCTTACAGAAACATGAGAAAGCCCCTTCTCCCCTCCGCATGCACTTCGCCGTTAACCAGCACGTTATCCTCTTCGTTTGTGGCGGTGTACTCGGGCGAGGCTCATGTTTCTGAGGGGATTGCTCTCCTGAATACCTCGCAGGCTGCTGCTGTACCAGAGGTACAAGGCAGAGACGCTCTGCGAGGTAATTATCTCGCAATTAGTAGGCACGAGGGAACAGTCAGCTTCCTACATCCACGTGTGACACTTCGACTATCTGTACTGATAGCAAGCAAGTCAAGTTTGTAGCAAAACGTAAATGTACGTAGTAATTGTGGCGCAACTGTAGATAATGTAAGTACTGTAAATTAAGCCCCGCTTATTTTATCATAAAAAGGCTTTGAATTGGCGGGTTTTATTTCAAAGATTCACTATTCTCTGCCCTGAAAATATTTCTCAGAGAAATCTGTCAGCCATTAAGCTCTTCAAGTAATTAGTACCTTTAGAAATAAAACAAGACCAGGAACTATGACTATAGGAGGAAATGAGCAGTTAATTATTTACTTTATGGCGTGAACTACAAAATATGAAAGTGAAATGGCATCCACATTGGTAACAAATGTTTGAATGGCGTTTGTCCTTTGCCACCTTCTCTTTTTACAGCATTTCAAACCTTTTTAGACCCTACAGGTTTAAAGGTGTGCAACAACTTAATGTAAAATTTGGAGGAAAGAAGAGGGGTCAGTGGGTCTCTGTGAATTCAAGGGCCAAAAATTTGGGTGTGATGAGAGCAGCAGCAGGAAGCATGGCTAGGAGTAGTGTCTATTTTCAATCCAGAACTGTTTGTTCATTTGTTTTTCTCTTTCGGGTTGATTACTCACAAAGTTTTCTGAATATTAATATTCAGAAATGATGACTCCCAAGATGTCAGTTGGACTTCTGTCCTTGATCTCAATGGGTCTTGATTTCATGCTATTTATCTACGCTAGGATAATTATAAATTGATTCATTTTCAAACTATAATTTTATGGGTATTCAATTGCTGCCAACAAAATATTGGAGAAACAGCATCATTCTTGTGTTTGTTTAAAGCCATAAAGCTCTCTGGGTGTCTGTGTTTGCATGTAATAATATTTATCTGGCGCTATTTGCATTGTTATGAAGGCACTCTTAAATAAGTTGTGTTTACTTTTGCAGCTCATCTGCATTTTCCTTCCTGAGTCTGAAAAAGTAGCTTTCATTTTTTTGATCTATTTATATTTATTTCATGAATTCTTTCATTTCTAAGACCGTCTTTTTTCATCTTCATCTTGTTTAAAACAAATGGGGTTCTGTCCCAATGCAGACAATCTGTGGAATAAAAATGGAGATTGGTTTCACTCTCTGTGTGACGCTTGGCATCAGTTAAAGTACATTGTTTCTAAATAGTTGCTCATACATGAGGTTCCAGGGTGAATAAAGGGGAGGAGAGAATGTCAGCCTTGCATTAGAGACCAAAGCTGGCGGGGGGAGCTTTGCAAACAGTTCTTTAATTGTTTCTCTTACACCTTAAGGTTTTAATGGGTATCTGTCTCTGTTCTTGCAGCTAACTCCAGTTGGAACAACCATCTTTACGGGATTTTCTGGAAACAATGGTGCTACTGACATTGATGATGGTCCAAATGGCCAGATAGAATATGTCATCCAGTACAATCCTAACGACAAGGTAAGTGCATTTAGCTTTTCTTCTCATTCAGGTGTATGTGTGTGTATATATACACACACCTTGAAGCAGCAAATAAACAAGAGATTGCTGTTGGACTTCATAAAGAAATTCTTTCCTTCCTGATGCAGAATACCCTCTCTGCCTTGCTTGCCATGTAAACACAGCTGAATTTACCTTCCCTTTCATTGCTGTGCTGTTAGCAGCTGGATTACTTCAGTATCAAACATTAATAATCCCCTGTCTTCTCCAGCACTGTTCATACGCTCCATCTTGGTTTTGGCATGCCTTTTCAGTCCGTGATAGGCAGTTGTATTTACTCCCACACATGTATACCTAATAGATTCACAGCTAAGAAATATTCATAGGCATGGCTAAGTTACTCTCAAAAGAGACATTCTGACTTTTCTCATGGAGATATTTATATTTAAAGATCACTGTTTCAAAAAAAAAAAAAGAGGGACGTCTATACTAAAATAAAACACTAGCGATCCCTACCTATTAACTTTGCAAACACATACTTTTAGAGACAAAAAGCTTAAAGTATTAAAATAAATTCTCTTTAGTTGTCAGATGTGTGACTTTCTCTATTATAACAAGGTTTTGCACATGGGTGATGTGTGTGAAGTGTCCACATGCATTTTTGTAGCGTATTTGAAGTAATTTTAGCAATCCTTTTTTGTAAACCAAGCTATCTTTTGCCATGGGCTAAGAGTGCAGTTACTGTGGGTCAGCTAGTGTGATAATTTGTTCAGCAG